GTTAGGGTTACAACAGTGAATAGACGAAACTCCCTGTCAGGGTGGAGCTTGTCACTTCAGCAGAGGCAGACAACAAACACCAAAACAAGGACATTATAGAGGATGTTAGAAGGTGATAAAAGCTATAGGAAAAATAGTGGGGTGAAAGGGGGTCAGGGCAGCATGAGGGGGTTGTGGTTTTAAGCAAGGTGGTCACAAAGGCCTCACCAAGAGGTGACAGTTGTACAGTGACTCGAAGAAAGTGAACTTGCAGCTGCCGGAGCTCCCAAGTCTCCAGGCGGAGGGATTGGCAAAGACAGGGGCCCTGAGGCAGAGACGGGCCAGGTGTGCAGGAGGGCAGCAAGGAGGCTGACACAGGGGCAGGGCTGTGAGCCAGGGGCGAGCAGAGACCAGAGGTCCAGAGCAGCCCCCAGTGCAGGGAGGAAGATGGGGGCAGGGCTGCACCTCCCTGACAGCGTAGGTCCTAGCAGAGCCGGTGGCAAAGCAGGCCCTGTCCTGCCTGCCTTGGAGACACCAGAGCCTGCAGGAGGTAGACACCGGGCAGATGGGCAGTCAGCACTCAGCACGTGGTCTTGTCACCACGTTCCCACACACTCTGACCCCAAGTCAGTGCACAGGGCGGGGGACCTGGCACACAGGGCACCATGTGGACATGGTGAGCTGTGGTCACCCTGGAGCCAGGCCCTCATACTGCACCACGCATGGCACATGCCTTCATCTGCCCTCAGTGCCTCTCGCATACCCACCCCCAGGAATTGTCACTCAAATTCCCTTTGCCTATGGATCCGTGCCAGCAATATCTATGACTGGTTCCTGTCATCTGGCCTTGGGTCCAGCATTCCTCCTCCTCCTCCTCCTCTTCCCTTGGAACACGCTGAAGCAGCCCTGTCCCCACACAGTGACCATGGTGCTGTTTCCTTGGCCACCCTTCTGCTGTCTGGAGATCTAGCTGCCTTGTTCATTGGCTGTGCCTTCTTAGATGAGTGAACTGCATGGGAGCCGGGCCCTGGTCTGCATGTTCACCGCCATTTGTCTCCCTGTCCTGGCATGTTCCCTGAATATTTTTAAGTGAAAAGACACAGAGGCAGGTTGGGAGAAGCACAGGGCGGGACTCCCAGAGTCTGGCTGGGTGGGCAGCAGCTCTCACCATGTGACACCCTGGGGTGCTCTTCACTTCCCTCTGTTTGCCACATGGCTAAGAATAAAATAAATAAATAAATAAAATTTTAAAAAGGCCACTGGGAAAACAAAGCAGCTCCTGGTGACATTTGCCACGAATCCATGCAGCTCCATGTCCAGGTCTCCCTTTGGTCAGGCTTTCCAGGTGTGGCTTCCCGGCCAGTCCATAATAGAGCAGAGGTAAACGAGCCTGACCATCTCAGAAGAGCAAATAAATGGCCACATCTTCACCAGTGCCAGATAGACTTTCCGGCTCTGCCTGCTCCAGGCAGTGCAAGGTCGGCATTGTGTGTAACGAGAGCCATCACGGGCGAGATGGACTGCCGATTGGGCCACGCCTGTCTCCCCAGCCCAGCACCGACGCCGGGGAGCCCCACGCCTCCTCAGCCTCCAGACCTCCTGGCACCAGAGGGAGACGGGCTGCCGATGCCATTTGTCGGGGTCTGCTGCCAGCTACCTGCTCTGTTTGCAGAAGGAAGGCCAGGCTCTGATTCAGGGATTCAGATACCTACAGGCCTGGTGCTCACTTGAGGGGGCTGGCCAGGGTCCTCCCCATGCCCACACCCTGTGCCCCATCCCAAGCTGGGGCAGACCACCTACATACGGAACCTGCAGAGCAGACACCACTCAGGCTCCACGTAAGGTGTGCTGCTCACAGGGGGCACTTCCTTAATACAGGTCCCCACGGGCACAGTATCACATGTCCCTCAGGCAGGCGTGCAATGGCCAGCCTGGCTCCTGGAGCCCCGTTCATATCAGCTGCATGTCCCCAGTCTTCCCAGAGGACTCAGGCTCTAGATGGCCAGTAATCTCACTTCCGCCTGCCAGAGGGAGACCTGACCCTTTGTGCAGTGGGGCAGGCTGTCCCTGACTGACTCTACAGATGGCCTTTTTATCCAGCACCCTTGTCACTTTTTTTTTTTAGACTGAGTCCCACTCTGTTGACCAGGCTGGAGTGCAGTGGCGCGATCTCGGCTCACTGCAAGCTCCACCTCCCTGGTTCATGCCATTTTACTACCTCAGCCTCCTGAGTAACTGAGACTACAGGCACCTGCCACCACGCCCGGCTAATTTTTTGTATTTTTAATGGAGACAGGGTTTCCCCATGTTAGTCAGGATGGTCTCGATCTCCTGACCTCATGATCTGCCCGCCTCGGCCTCCCAAAGTGCTGGGATTACAGGTGTGAGCCCTTGTCACCTTTTTAAACATCTAGAGCTGTAGGGCCAGTACATGACACTCTCACAGCCTTGAGAACCATTGTCAGAAGCCCACTGAAAGCTGGATCCCCCACCCATCGCTCTGAGTGGAGAGCAGAAGCTGGCTTTGCCATTGGGTAAGGGCTGGAGCTCAAATCCTGGCTCTTCTGAGCTCACTGTGGGGCTTCCAATAAGTCACTGCCGTCTTAGACCTTCATTTTCTTATCCATATAAAGAAGTGGGTGGCCAACATCTTCAGGAAGCTGAGCCAGAAATAACCCGCACAGCCCCACTAGCCAGCTCTCCCAGTCTGAGATGACAGGCCAGGGCCTTCTGGACTGAAGCTTGATGCGTGAGCCTCGTGGCTGCCTTGTCTTCTCAGGAAGGAAGCTAGTACTGGGCAGGACTGGGAAAGAGAGGAAAAATTCTTCAGGTGCCAGCAGGTACAGTGGCACAAGTGCCCACGGCACGTAGGAAGCTGAGCCCTCTGCCCAGCTTCCCCCCAGCTCTGGACCTCTAGGCCTCCAGCCTGTACAGGCCCTTTGTGCACATGGGGAGGGGATCCTGGTGGGACACCTCCCTGGCAGGCAGGGTATGGGCTGCCTTCACCCCCACCTGCCCTCAGTGCCTTCATACCCAGCTGCCCCTAGTAGCAGTCTCAGGAGCCGCCACCCACTGGGGCTCCCTGTCCCATGCCATTCTCACAGTGCCCCATGAGCTTGCTCCCACCCGAACCCCCCAGTGGGGCCATGAGGCTCACAGAGCGAGTGCTCACACTGGGGTGCTCTGCTAGGGGCGGAACTGCTCCAAGCCCTGGGCCACCCACTCCTGCAGATGCCGAGGAGCATGCTGAGTGGCCTCACCCTGGCCAGTGGCCCGCATGAAGGCTGCAGCATGCTGCCACCAGGAGATTCCTCATGAATACAAGCCCCACAGCACAGAAAGACAGGTGCTGATGATCTCACTTATACATGGTATCTCGAAACCCAAACTCATAGAAGCAGAGGGTAGAAGGGTGGTTGCAGGGGTCTGGGGGTGGAGGCTGGGGCGGGAATGGAGAGATCTTGGTCAAAGGGTTCACAGTTTCAGTTAGACCAGAGAAGTCGATTCAGGAGATCCGCTGTGCAGAATGGTGACTGTAATTAATAACAATGTATAATATTCAATGAAATTTCTAAGATAATAGATTTTAAATGTTCTCATCACCAAAATAAGTATGTGAGGTGATGGATATGTTAATTAGTTTGATTTAATCATTCTAAAATGTATGCATATATTAAAACATCATGTTAGACTGGGCAACATGGCAAAACCCCATCTCCACAAAAAAATGCAAACACTCAGCTAGGCGTGGTGGCACGAGCCTGTGGTCCCAGCTACTCAGGAGGCTGAGGTGGGAGGCAGAGGTTGCAGTGAGCCAGGATCACACCACTGCACTCCAGCCTAGGCAACAGAGTGAGACCCTGTCACACACACACTATATATATATTTTATATATATATATAAAAAACACTAAATATACACAGTTTGTCATTTGTCAATTTAAAAATAAAAAGACAAGCCCCAGAGAAAGGGCAGTTGCAGCAGCATGTTTAAGGATGAGTGGGACTTCCATTGCCTAGGATGGGAAGGGTGTTCCAGGCAGAGGGAACAGCATGTGAGAGGCTTGCATGTGCAATGAGGAGCCCAGGAATGGACCATGATCAGCAGGGCTGCAGAGCGTGGCGAAGATGGAGGAGTTGGAGTGAGCGCGAGTCGGGGCATCAGCAGGAGACAGATTTCCACTCAGACGTTCAGCTGGAGGGAGGTCTTTAGGGAGGCATGGGCTGGTTAAAGCAGCTCATAGAGGTGGCTGGAAAGCGGTGGGGGCTGCACCAACCCAAGCCTGGGGGTGGGGCAGCATCTACCCCTGGCAGAGGATTCTGGGATGAGCCACTGACTCTGTGAGCCCCATGGCCTCACTGGGGTGTCCTGACGGGAGCAAATTCTCAGGGCTGTGGCAAACTGAGCCGAGGGGACACTGTGAGAATGGCATGGGGCAGGGAGCCCCAGTGGGTGGTGGCTCCTGCGACTGCTACTGGGGCAGCTGGGTATGCAGCCTGCATATCCCACTGAGGGCAGGTGGGAGTGAAGGCAGCCAGAGATACACACCCTGACTACCCTCTCTTCCCACACTCTGGCCTGCTGGGGCTCCCACTGCTAAACCTGGTCATGCTGTCTGCAGGGGTCAGCCTCTCAGGCACACAAGAGGGTGGAGAATAATGTGTCTCCAGGGACAATCAGGGAGCACCCCACCCAGGGAGCCTCAGATGCCTAGTTTCCAGATATGGACTTGGCATGAGTACACTGGAAAGCAATGGACCACTCGGCACAGGGCAGCAGTCCCTCCAGGGCCTGAGCACAGGGGCAGTGAGCCGAGGCCCCAAGAGGCACAGTGCCCTGCTGTACACCTATCAGATGGGCGCCAGAGGGACCAAAATGTCAGAATGGACCACAGGCCTCAGGGCTGCTTGGCTGCGGAAGGAGGCAAAAGAGGGATGAGTCTAGGCGGCAGGTGGGCAGGCAAGGAGCCCACAGGTGCTTGGGGTATGACAGAGTGACAGGCTGTCTTCTGTGCCTTGCAGGTGGCCTCAGCCCTGAGTCCAAGAAGATCCTGACACCCGCCCTCAAGAAGCGGGCCCGGGCCGGCCGCGGGGAGGCTACCAGGCAGGAGGAGAGCGCTGAGCAGAGCGAGCCCTCACAGCATGTGGCACTCAGCCTGACTTTCAAGCGTTATGTCTTCGACACCCACAAGCGCATGGTCCAGTCTCCCTGAGTGTCCAGTGACCTCCCCCAGGGCCTCCTTGCCCGGCCCAGTCCAGGGTGCTGTGCCAAATCCCAACCAGTCATGCCTCAACCTCTCCCAGTCTCTCCCTGCAGTCCTGCAGCAGCAGCCCCCACCCCCAGGATTGGTGCTCAGCCCTGGTGAGGAGCTGAGGGGGATGTGTTGCCGGGGCCAGGAGGGTCTGTCCTCCAGCCCCTGCACACTCCCACCCAGGACAGCCACCAGCCCAACTAGGAAAGGGCCTTGGGCAGAGGGCTGGTAGCCAGTGTCTTCCACTGCCCCATTTGTTGGCCACCTGCAGGCCTGTCTCACCCCTCCCCCAGGTGGGCAGACACTTGACGGCTACAAATAAATGTCCCATGGCCCCAGCCCACTCGACTGGTGTCTCTCTCTTTGACTTCACTAGGGCCCCCGCCCTCCCCAACTGTGTTCCAAGGGGAATCTCAGAGGAATCCCAAGAGTTCCTGCCCAGGTAGGGGCCAGGGGAGGGACCCAAACTCAGAGTCCGTAGGCTATGGGAGTCTGCAGTGTCTGCGCTTCTCAACCCCACTGGGTAGCTCCTGGGACACTCTGGGCCTTGAGGGAGAATGGGGATTCTCTGGGCAGCTGGGTCCAGGGAGGGCACCCACAGGGGAGTTGGAGAATAGCAGGGTGCCTGGCCAGGGCATCGGGCAGAGCAGGTGGAGGCTTGCTCTTCCACCCCAACACCAGGAGTCCCTTAGCCCCTGCCCTCAAGTTTGAGAACCACACACTTCCCAGAAAGTGGAGGGTAGCATGGTGAGGGCGCCCTGTGCAGCGCCATCTGCCGTCCCCTGCACCCACAGACCACCCTTCCCTGTAGCCCCGGGCTGTGGGATACTCAGGAAAGGGTGAGATGGTGGAGTCAACTGAGGGGAAATCAAAGCTTTTAGAGACATTTGTAGCATGAACAGATGTTCAAACGTTCCTTTATTTGGTCTCCAGACAGACGCAGAGGCCTTCCTTTTATCCCAGTAATCGGTGCATTATGCTTTAATTTGCAAATGGCATTAAAAATATTAACAGGGGTAGGTTTCGATCAAATGACTTGGGGCTGTTAAGCCCCAGAGCCGTGTGTGTGTGTGTGTGTGTGTGTGTGTGTGTCCCGTGTGCATGTGGTGGCTGGGGAGAAAGCAGTTAATTAAATACACCAGCAGCAGAGCAAAGCCCCCGTGCTGCAAGGATGCCAGTGATGGCGAATGGCCCAGCCACCCTTGGTCAACCTTGGCCCAGACCCAGGCAGCAGGGCTAGAGCAGCAGTCAAGGGCAACAGCTGAGAGCCATGGGGAAGTGGGGTTCCCAGTTCAGTCCCCTGAGGGGACTGGCCCTGTAGGAAAGTGAGACAGAGTGTGGCCCCAGTGAGCGTGGCCTCCACTGCTGCAGGCTGCGGGTGCCAGGGCGGCTTGTCTGCATCGTGAATCAGGACAGCCCTCTGCCTAGGAGCCGGCTCCCCCTCAACTGCTGCTGCCTGAGCAGACACCTCCTGGGACTGCAGTGGCCCCTCTCCCTGGGGCCTCACCCCACTGTGTGCTGTGCCCCACGGCCTCCTCACCCTACCCGGCCCTGCAGACTGTTTCACCAGAAAGGCAGTACCACTTCGCTGAAGCCACTCTGCCCAGGAAACTGGCAGCGGCCTTGAGCCCACACCAGGCTCCCTGCTAGCCGGCTGGTCCCTCAGGAGAGCAGCCCAAAAATGGAGCAGATCTCTGGGAGGGCTTCAGTCAGCACTGAGCTGGGCTCGCAGCCACCAGCCTGTCAGTCCCCGGGGGCAGGAGAGGCCCCTCTGAGCACCTGCCAGTGTTGTCCAGGCTGGTCACCTCCCAGCAGACCTGGGAGCTGCTGTTGAGGGCCAGCACTGGGTCCGAACCCAGCTCTGAGGACTCACCTCTGAGGCGAGGAAACCTCCCTCCTCCTCAGTGTGGGGCTGAACTGGGGGCCAGGCCACACCCTCCCTGACCCCTCCCTCCCCAGCTCCCTCAGGGTCCCTGCACATTGGGACAGAAAGCTCTGAGCTCAGCCCCAGGTCCTGGCCTGCATGGGCAGAGTGACCTTGAGTGTGTCACTGCCTCTCTCTAATGAGGGGTCATGTGACCCAGTGGAGCCCCCACTGTGCCAGGCATGGGGGGCACTTAGTCCATGGGAGCTGGCTCTGGGGCCAGATCAGATGTGGAGGAAAGCTGGGGCCAGATCAGATGTGGAGGAAAGCTGGGCACACAGGGCGAACATGGCTGCTGCCGCCAGGGCACAGATTCGGGCCTCTCCCTGCCTGCGGTGTGAGCTTGGACAAGTTCCCTAACCTCATGCCTCAGTGTCCCCATGTATAAAATGGAAGAAGAAAAGCAGCCATGCCAGAGGGCTAGGAGACTTGTCAGGCACATTGCTGACCCCGCATTACCTGCGGCCCTAGGGTGGGCCCCACACATCTCCCACTGAGAGGCAAAAGGCCCAGAACCCCTCAGGAAGTGATACCATCCCCAAATCAGCCGTTTTTCCAGGAACTCTGTGCGGGTGTCCACCTCCACCCCACCTGTCCCCTCCCCACTGGTCTGAAGACCATGCTCCTCAAAGCCCCAGGAAGGAGGGGGCTCAGGTGGAGGAATTGGGGCACAGAAGGGAGGAGGGGCAGCCCAGGGCGACTCCCAGGAGCCTCTGAGCCCCCTGAGTGTGTAATGAGGCGGATCTGCTCTGTGTGGCCTGAAAACGCCCAGCCGACTGCCCCAGGAGAGGCCTCTATCAGGCCCGGCATCGGTGGAAACCCGAGCGTCCATTAGTGGGGTCGGGCCAGGGCGCGCAGCCTTTGAAGGTGCAGCCTAGCCGGGACGGTGGGCAGGAGCCAGAGCCAGCACCCGGTTCTGGCTGAGGCCAAGGTGTGGGCATGCACGTCCCCTTCCCTGGCTCCCCTGCCCCACAGGGTGCCTTGGGCAACCCCAGGTCCCCGTGTTTTATGAAGGAGAGGGTTCCAGTAGGCCAAACTCACTGCAGCCACTGACACAGGTAAACTCACTGAATCTGCTCGTCTACCCACAGCGGTGGTGTGGCAGCAGCATGCCGGTTTCACAGGAGTGCAGGCAGGGCAGGGCTTGGCTGCCTGCAGCTGCCCCAGTGCTTCAGGCGTGTCCTTGGAAAAGAGGTGCCCTCTGGGGTCCTCTGTGGGCTGATGGGTGGGGTGGGGCATGGGACAGCAGTGCCCCAGGTCTCCTCACCTGCCTGCCCACATGGAGTGAGGTCATGGACCGGCATCCTGCCATGGGCTGGGGCAGGAGGGGCAGCAGTGATTGGCAGGCCCCCGACCAGCAGGGCTAATGCACAAGTGAGGAGATAAGGCTTATCTGGAAATGTCCCTGGAATCGAGACTCTGATGGAAACAGGCTTCTGGGTTAATATATTTTTGATAGATAATGTCTCGTAAACGGGAAGCCCTGGGGGCCTGGGGCAGGAGAAGGGGCAGCTTCTGCGTTCCCAGGCCTCCTGCCCTGGCCATGCATGTGCATGTGCGCACACGGGCATCGGTGCACCAGGCATCTCTGAGCCTGTGCTGATGTCCGGGTGTGCGTCTGTGCATATGGATCCACAATGTCTCGGACATGTCTGCATGTGCTCCGTGTGTGTTTTGGGTGTTGGTGTTTGTCAGTGTGTGTCTCTTTGGGTGTGGGAGTGGGGTGAAGGAGGATCGAGTCCAGTATGCACAGGGTGGTGGCATGTGTGTATCCAGTGCCAGTTTGCCCCATGGGCAAAGGGCATGCAGGTTGATGGGGCCTCTTCTCCAGGACTGGATAGGATTCGAGGGAGGCTGATCACTCCATTCTACAGGAAGCATGCCAGGGCCAGACCCCTGTCTGGGGAGCACAGGAGACTGTCGGTCCGAGCTCACTCTGGGGTTGGTCCCAGCCCTGGCCTCCTCTGCCAAGCAGCCTCCATGTGGGGGTTAGCATTTCCAGATTCCCTTCCAGAGACCAAGGCCAGTCCCCTGACAGCCTCCCAGCTCCTAGTTCAGCCTTGTCTGTCCTCTGAGGCTGAGACTGGGAAGGCCTCCTGCCAAGGGGCTGCATGGGCAAGGTCTTGAAGGGAGAGTAGGAGTTTGCCAGAGCAAGGAAGGGTGGCACTCACCAGAGGGAACAGCAGAGTGAGGGCTGTGTCGAGGGAGCGCTCACTGGGGCCCATGTGCCTGCTTGCTGAGGAGGGATGAGGTCATGGCTCCGGACCCCCCAGCCCCTGCTGCACCCCCAGGAGCCTCCACACAAGCAGCCCAGATTAAAAAGAGTAATTAGCATTTGGCTGATAACGGGTTTGAGCCATTAATTAGCCTGCTCAGCCGGCACCAGGCTGGGCTGCTGGGAGTTGGGGCAGAGGCAGAGGGAGTGCTGGGAGTGGGGCGGAGGCAGCAGGGAGTGCTGGGAGTGGGGCTCGAAAGGCTCTACGGGGGCTCCACTCCCCTTGCTGAGCACTGGTGATGGTGAGGGAGGTGTTGGGGGCGCTATGAACAATGTGACTAGACCTCGGGCAGCCAGAGAGGCCTAGAAGGCTGTCTGCTGGGTGTGGGGAGGCCTTGGAGCCCTGAAAGGGCATAGGCAGGGGGTGGGGTGTGGTGTCCAGTTGGGATTTCAAGAGACCCCTCTGGCCTCCTGAGGGAGCCAATAGCAGGGCCTGGAGATCAGGGCTCCCCCACCCCCAACACAAACGGGGCAGAGGCCATGTGGGTTGGAGAGGACCTGGGACCAGTGGTTGGTGATTGGATGTGGCAGCCGAGGGGCGGGGACAGTCCGAGCTGAGGCCTGGGAGGAAGAGGACGTTTGGGAAGTCTCGGGATTGAAAACAGGGAGGTGAAACTTGAGAGGAGAGGTACATTTGGGAAGAGGCCCCAGGCTGAGTGCTTGAATATTTACAAGGCCTCCTGTGTACAGGCCCTGCCACTGTGCTGGAGGCAGCAGTTGGGGAAATGGAGACCCCGCCCACATCCCAGCCCATTGCTCCCTGGGGCAGGGCCAGTGCAGGGACCTCAGAGGGCGGTGGGAGGGACAGCCTGGCCTAGATCCTTACCTCCCACCTCACAGTGTGGCCTGCAGCTCCCCCTGCAAAGGAGGCTGTCGGGCCGGCTCTGCCTCCCTGGCCCACCCAGGCCAGCAAGTTGAAGGTCACATGGCCACACCCCTGGAGCCCTGACTGAGGTGTTGCTCAGTCCCCACGTGCTCCCCCCACATTATGACTGGCCCTCATGAGGGAGACAGTGCAGCAGAGAAAAACAGCCACATCCCACAGCCACAGCGGGCCTCTAGGTCAAGGCCCAGCTGGGAGCCCAGGCTGACCCGGACCTGGGGCACGGTGCCAGGCGCAGCCAGGCCTCACCCCTCAAGGTCACTC